AGATTGAACCAAATGATGCCTTTGCATTGAGAAATAGAGGAGCTGTCTATCTAGATCTAAAACAATATGACAATGCATTAAATGATTTCAACAAATCATTGGATATTGAACCAAATAATGTCTTTGCATTGAGAAATAGAGGAACTGTCTACAGTCAACACTCCCTAAATGCACACACTCCCTAAATGCACATTATTCTGTGGTTCTGAACTCAGGACTTAGTACTTAAATGCACACTCTTTATATTTATTCTGCATGTGCAATGGATTTGGAAATTCCAGTTATATGAGAATAATTCCCTAAATGCACACAGTGATCTGATGGTTTACTGTTATATATCAGGTAGAACTATAATTGGTGGGATTTTGTAACATTTGATTCTTAGTATCACTATTACCAAACATTGATCTTAAAACAAAACCATTAGCTATCATACATATACATAGGGTGTCTGAAAAGTTTTGACAATATTAATGTATATTTATCTTGATGATTTGTGCAACTACTTAAATAAGATAATTATGTAAGTAAAGTTTGGGTTTCAGTTGATCTTGCATGACAAACCTGACACGATTTGATTTGACCATTGTTGAGAAATTTGCTTTAAAAATCCTTACTATTACCCTAAAACTATTGGAGAATACTATGTGAGAACACCAACTACAACATTATAATTATTGCATCTTCATTTGGCTAGAAAATGTCGTGCCGACTACTGTAGGAGAGCAGATAGTAATCGATATTTGGGATTTAGTTTTAGTTTCGGCAGAGCGTGGCGCCTCCTTCTCTAGGTAAATCTCAGGTTACAGTTAGTGACCTTGTCTAATCAAGGCTTTGAACTTATGAAAACCTTCCCGTCGTAGAGTGACGCTAATCCTGGATATATTAATTGTACTCGAGTAACTCTGTCGGCTCCTAAGTTGGTATTAATTATTAGTCTACCGTTGGGGTACAATAGTGTTTTAATTATAATAATGCGTATCTACATAGCAATTAATTATCGTAATTTGCCATTCGAATAATCGCGGGACAAGAGGCGATTATTCTTCATCGATATAGGGATTAGCGGTTTCTCAGCTATACCGATAAGTTACCAGGGAATGAATCATTAACAATGTATTTCAGAGTATAAAGAACTGCTCATTTATTTACAATAAAGAAATCGAGAGTAATTAGACATGCTAAACATGCACTTATTCACTTTCTTTCATCTAACTGAAATCTACGTTACTTACAATATATATATCTTTCGAGCGGACTGATTGATATATTTAGCAGCTATTACTAATTATCTAACTATTATTCTCAGTATACGTTGTTACTTTTACAGCGATGCTGCTTGTATCACTGCCGTATCGCTGCTTGTACCGTTTGGAGTAATGCAGAGAATACGTCACCGTAGCATAGTCCTTTTTAACCAGTGAAAAATAATTTCCTGCGTGTGCTTCCGAATGTTACACTGATTCTATTGTTCTTATTTACGGAAACAATCGTGACAATCGCAATATAATGTAATGACGCGTTACACTAGGAAATATATCAATATTCGTTTATGCTCAAATGTTATCTTTTCATTGGCCTCTCCTCTGCGGCAACAAAAGACTCAAAAATATCGGCCAAAAGTACTTGCTTTGCTTGCCTTTGTTTTTTTCTTCGCCTGCTCCAAGTTTTAAAAAACGAAAAAGTTTGATTGTTTCTGTCCATAAATAGAAATATTATGGGCTGTACGACGTGTCGGGTTGTGCGATGTGTTGTCGGGATAATAATAATCCGTGATACACTGATAAACCCATAGTGTTTATGTAACATACTATATATAAATAAAGACTACAGAAAATGGTCTCTTTGTGGATTTACCACCAATTAAGAGAGACCAACTAAAAGGCCAATAACAGTTGTCAAAAAGGGCGACTCAAATCCTAAAAGTAACAAAACTATAAACTAGAATTAACATTTTTTGGGGACTGCGCCCCCCGTGCTTTTTATATAAGATAATGGAGTAAGGTTGAACAGGCAAAAAATACATATAGAAAATTGCTTCATAACATTCTATCATTAATGTGACAGTTTTGGTGTGAATGCATGCTTGACAGTTATCCACGAGCTGCCCAAATGTGAGATACAAATCAACATATTCTCCGGAATTGCCCAACCATCCAAGTTCCTCTATATCACATGCAACATACCAATGTTCATTCAAATAAAAGAATCAGCATGACCTATACAGTCAACCCTTCATAAAAGAACACAGTCGGGATAGCCAAATTATGTTCTATCATAGAGGTGTTCTCTTATAGAATTTACTCAAGATTATATAACAACCATTTATAATATTTATTAAACCAATCAAATACTAGTATTACTAACAAAGTATCAATCAAGAATTACCTGGTTTTTTTTTTGCATTTTTTCATAATCATATAGTCTTCTTCTAAATAACTGCTGTTTTTCTATACCAATATTTTCACTTGCCAACTGCTTTTCAAATCTAATGACTTTTTTTTAATGCTTCATATGCTTCAATAATTGTAACTAAAGGTGGTGGGGATTCTTCTAATTCTTCTTCAGAGTCTTCAATTCTCTTTGCTTCAATTTCTGCATCTGCCAAAACCATTTCTACAATTTCACTATCTTCAAGAACATTTTCAGTTGCAATCAGTTCAATAATATAATCTTCAAGATGCTTCGTTAGTCTCAATATTCAACCATTTTGTACTATATTTTATTATCTTTGAGACAGTTGGCGGGAAATATAAAGTTCTTGATATTTATTGTTAAAATAAGCGACAATATCATGGTGTTTCGTGCCATGATGACTTTTAGCATATTGACAGATTTCTTTATGAAGGAATCATTGACTATAAAGCTCGTTTTTTTGGTTTTTTTGTAGACGTTTTGACATTTGAATAGAGTATTAAGTTGGTCGGGCCTGCGAGAAATTACAAGTAATGTAACAGAAACTACGTAACTATGACAACAGCAAGGTCTGGATTTTCTGTTTGTACCTTTTCTAGTTAAATTAATTTTCTTACATAATAATACATAATAATAATTTGTCAGCCAATCAACATGCAGTGTTCTTATACGGAGGTAAACATAATTATAAGCGTTCTACAAAATTATGTTCTTGTTCCTTTATGGATTGTTCTTTTATAAAGGGAAATTTACTAATAAATCACATCCGTCCCACGAAAAAATGTTCTTCATGAGAGGTTGTTCCTTTATGGGGGGTTCTGGAGGGTTGACTGTATATACAGTTGAGGCTGTATTTGGCTAATGGCCTAATTTTCTTTTGTCATACCATAATTTCCAAGGAATTTTGCGCTGAATCATGCTATGTTTGTGCGACAGTTTACAATAGAAAGCGGAATATCATATGAAATTTTGATTTAGGCTTACTTAGAACAACGACACTATAGACAGATTTATTAATAAAATCTACCATAAGCAGGTTTATTACACGTATTTATAAAATTTCGGTTCTTGGCGGTTTGGCCAGAGTTCCGTTTAACCAGGTTCACTATAAACAGCCTCAACTGTATATAATTTAGTACGGTCGAACCTCGTTATACCAAAGGAATTCTGGCTTTCCCTTTTTTTAAATAGTAAAAACTCGTTATACTGTTACCGAAGTTCGATGCAGGATTTTTACATATGCTATTAATCGCTTTATACCGAAGTTTTGTCACGTAATAAAAATGTAGAATAGTGATTGGTTGTAGCAGATGAGGATCATATGATTTTGATTATCCGATTTTTGGGACACATGATTCGATCAGTAGTATATCTGCATATTAGTATGATTTTAATTCAGTCATAATGTTTATGATACTCGCACATATTGTTCCATCATGCAATTTTCGATCATACGATTAATTCCGAGACGTAAATATAATTAGAGTAAAGATATTAATATTATTCACATAAGTCTCATTATACCGAATATTGCTTGACCTTGGGTTATATAGAGGTACCTCACTATACCGAATATCTCGTTATACCGGATCATGGATGCTTCCCGACACTTCGGTATAACGAGGTTCGACTGTATTAATTCTTTTCGAAATGACTTCAAATGCACAGCCTCTCAGCCATTTACAAGCCACATTAGCCACATTATGTTTTATATTATCACGTGAAAGAATGCAAAGTTATTACATGACGATAGAGACGGTGGCAATTGCTTTACTTATCAACCCACCCAATTTTCGACTACGAAATGAAGGCATGGAAATTGCAGGAACTAGGTTACTGAAAGTTATCGTGTTAAACTTAACCAATAATGCAAAATTGCTAGCTTGCGTTATTGCGTATGTTTCTGACGTTGAAGCAATTCGCTATTAAAGTATTTGGAATAGCGCGCACACTTATGTTTATAATAATCTCGATGTAGCAATTTCTTACATTGTTATCTTATCTGGTCTATCTGATATGTTCTCATTGGTCAATCTTGCTTAATTACATCACCTGATATTAAATTATGAAATCAGATCTCTAGTACATATTCACATGTTCTCAACTTAACTTCATCGTCTTCTCAACTAAATACATGGAGTGTCTTGATACTGTAAAAAAGTTTAAAGATATTGGCTTTAGTTATCAAGTTGACCGTTCTCATTTCACGTTAGTGAACAACGTACGTAGCAAATCTAGAGTTTTCAAGTCTCATTTACTTTTTTAAAGTTAATTAACGAAGTGGATTATTGAAAGTAGACGTCCTTTAGCGTATACTGGTGTAGTTTTAGAGTGTGAAAATTCACAAAGTAAAAAGACGCAGAGCCAATCAAATTTCAAGAATTCGTCCGCTAGAATCGATTTCCATATCGAGTAAAATCCCGGACTGTAATAGTTTTAAGTCAATGAATAGGTAAGCCAAGCTAAATACGGTTAGTGCATATTGTTTATAGGGATGTAACACGAATTATCTTTTCAACGTGACGCAACGCAGCAATTTATATTAATATTATAATACGAAATGATCCATTCTCCTCCTCCAAACAATGGCTCAATATACGGAGACTCTCTTAGCTGACCGTAGGGTCAGTCCAGAAGCAATATTAAAGAATCACCAAAATATCAGATTGTATGATATTGTTTCTTAACAGGTCGATGCATTTTGTGTCTTCGCTCACCGCCACCGTTTCTGTTTCAGACCCGAGAAAGGTCAACGTAATGTTTTAATCACAAGTGCTTTACCGTATGTGAACAACATACCCCATTTGGGTAACATTATCGGAAGTGTGTTAAGTGCCGATGTCTTTGCCAGGTACCAAGGATTCCCTTTTCTCCCTTTGTATTTGTAATCCATCGTGATTCAGTGATGATTGAATATTTAATGTCGGTGTAGATATGCGCGTGCTCGAGGTTATAATACATTATACGTTTGTGGTACCGATGAGTATGGCACTGCGACGGAAACAAAAGCCCTCGCGGAAGGAATCAGTTGTCAAGAACTATGTGACAAGTATTATGCTATACATCACGATGTGTATAAATGGTTTGATATAAATTTTGATTACTTTGGTCGAACCACAACCTCCGAACAAACTGTGTGAGTGTATATGCCTGTCTATTCTGTGAGAGATTATGCTGATTTCATTATACGAGTGTTGATCTCTTTTTTCTTTTTTTTTTGTTTAGAATTGCGCAAGACATTTTCCTTAAACTACTGAAGAACGGTTATCTCAGCGAAGACAGTATGCTTCAACTGTTTTGCGAAAAGTGTCAGCGGTAATAATCCATGTCTACCATCAGGCTTACCTTTCCACGTTTAAAATTGCGATCCAACTTGTTTCCCTTTCTGTTTCGCAGGTATCTTGCTGATCGTTACGTTGAAGGTACTTGCCCAAAGTGTGGTTATGTGGTACGTGTGCTCGTATTTGTATATGTGTGTGACTTGCTTGAATGCAATGTTTCGATAGACAGATCAAGTTCGACCATAGTAATATAATCTTCATTAACTTTTCAGAATTCTTTGTTATAGGATGCTCGAGGGGATCAATGCGACTCTTGCGGACAACTTCTCAACGCTGTCGAGTTGATAAATCCACGCTGTCAACAAGATGGAAGTCCCCCGATTACACGGGAATCACAACATATGTTTCTCAATCTGAATATGCTTCAAGGTCCCACTGAACAATGGATAGAGGAAGCCAGTACTGAAGGGAAATGGTCTGCAAATAGTAAGACGATTACCCAGAATTGGCTTCGTGAAGGTCTCAGACCACGATGTATTACGCGTGATTTGAAATGGGGCACCAAGGTACCTCTGGAAGGCATGAAAGACAAAGTGTTCTATGTGTGGTTTGATGCCCCTATTGGGTAAGTGGGAATATATTCGCATTTGAGCATCGATCAAAGTACTAAATGTCTGTTTTCTTTATTGGAAACAGTTACTTGTCGATAACTGCAAATTATACTGACCAGTGGGAACAATGGTGGAAGAATCCCGAAGACGTAAAATTGTACCAATTTATGGGGAAGGACAACGTGCCTTTTCACACTGTCATGTTTCCTAGTACTCTAATTGGTACGGGAGAGAGTTGGACGTTGTTGCATCATTTGAATACAACAGGTACCTGAAGGATATTTATCATTCACATAACTTGAGTATACGATTTGGTAACCAACATTTCGAGTTTTATCTTTGCATGAATACTAATATTCTTTCTTTTTTTTAATAATCATAGAGTACCTGAATTATGAGAATACCAAGTTTTCTAAATCACGTAATATTGGCGTATTTGGCGATGATGTTAAGGACACTGGAATACCCGTATCAGTATGGCGATATTATCTTCTATCAATTAGACCAGAGACTAGCGATTCCATGTTTACATGGAAAGAGTTTATTACAAGAAACAACACCGAATTACTTGCAAATCTGGGTAACTTTGTCAATCGAGTCGTTAAATTCGCTATTGCAAAATATAATGGTATTTTGCCCGATTTTACCATGGATGAGGAAGATGAACAAATACTCACTAAAAATGTCAACGAGATATTAACTAAATATTTGGAGGCTATGGAGAATGTTAAGATTAGAGCTGGATTAGAGAAGGCCATGGAATTATCTCACCTGGGAAATTACTATCTGCAAGAGTCCAAGCTTGATAACACCTTATTTGCCGATAATCCCCAAAAGTGTGCAGCGGTTATTGGTGCAACTATAAACATGATATATTTGTTGTCTGCATTGATTGAGCCATATATGCCATCGACAAGTGAATCCATTCTGCGTCAGCTTAACGCCCCAGCACGTACTATTCCCGATTCTTGGACGATTGATATTTATCCTGAACATAAATTGGGAAAGGCTGAGTATTTATTCCGGAGATTAGACGATAAGCAGTTTAGAGAAAAGTATGGAGGTCTAGACACGAAACCGAAACAAACCAAGAAGAAAGGAAATACGCAAAAGAAAACAGGTAAAAAAGCAGCAACGGATAGCACTCCTGCAGCAGCAGCAGCAGCAGCAGCAAATCAATCAGGATCCGGTGTATGAGGTTTAGCTCGTGTATGCAAATGATTAGAAGCAGGATGCCAATAAATTAATCGAATTAATGCGTTGGTGACTGATTATATTTATTCACTTGGAATAAATCACTCTGTTATTACATGTCTTATACATTATCCCGTTTCTCATGCTGCGAATCTTTTATTCAATTTACTCTATTAATACATGTCTTATACAATGCATTAATCGTCGTGGACCATTTGTCAATTGCTGCATATCTTTGAGTATCGGATGACCTACAAACACAAACGATAGTTAATTCCATACTCGTAATCAGTGTAGTTAATTGAATATTCTTATGAATTATTGTATACGTACTGTCTATATAATTCCAGACGTTGATTGACTTGATCAATGCGGCCAACAATTTTATTGTCAAGCACAAGACCAACAAGCAAATCTTCTACTTCCTGTGCTGGAATGTTCAATTGCTTGATAATGCGCAAAAAGTATCGTGTTAATAATAATGAATACATCACAGAGACCATCTGATACAAATGAATTTTCACATAGGAAAATAACCATACCTTCGATACGAAGGGGATTTCTATTCGTGTGTAAGGCTTTATTAATCTCAACAGCACTTGCGTACGAATGTTTCTCAACACATCATCGATATATGTGCGAATAAACGGATCATCCATAATTGTGGCCCGATTGTCTTTTTTAGAATAATTCATTAGCATAGCACTTTAAACACAGATCGCGTATGAGAATCTCATCTTACCTCGAAGAATTTTTTCAAATTCTCGAATTTCCTTGCGCTGATAAGCGCCTACAAGGTTTGTCATTGCAACTATTTGTGGATCATTCTTGTAGCTAAAAAAAATATCAACGTTAATAATAGTAATAATAATATATAGCAATAGGTAATATCCAAGAATTGACTTACGGTTTCGTTTCTTGTGAATCAAAAGGATTGATCTGCGATTCTGTCAACATATTCGCAAGAACGAGATATCTAATAGAAATCAAAACCAAGTAACATATACTTAGAGATAGTAACAATGGTTATTAAATCAGAAGCACAAATTACTCACTTCAAGACCTGTATGCGCTGTGGACTACCGGCTTCATCATAGTTACGGAAACTCTCAAAGAAATCAGTCTGCGCCTTGTCCCATTCCTCTGTAATGATGAATATAAAAAATATCGATGAGTCCTCTCCTATCCACATTCCATCCTCAACTTTCTTCTATAGGCCCATATTACAAATTCAGACTGCATCCACTCGAGCCTACATCTGCTCTCAAACCTATCCTTGTACTTACTCTCACTCATATGCATCTTTCCACCACACTCTCTGATGACACCCATGATTCTCGGATGAGGTATAGCAGATTTGACATGAAGACATTGCTGATAAAGAGCTTTTAATTTCTTGTTGTTTTTGGTCTCGGTATACATTTGAATCTCGAGAGCAAAGATTTCCAAGAGGTGAGTGCCTTTGCGTTGATCATCAGTTCCATCATCTTTCTGGCATGACTGATGGAGTTGACGAAGAATCTGATAATGCGAAATTTTCAGGTCAGTAAAAAGTTTATAGAAAGTATTATGAGAAAATACATGTAGCATGCATCACAAACGAATGAGAATTCTCTTTTCTCACCTTGTTCAAGCGAGTGTATTCCTTCCTGTCTAGCCATAACTTGGCTAGTTTCAGATTAGTCTTCACCCATAGACGCTATCAATCAAACAATTCCAATTAATTTGTTTGCATATTTTCTCCAAAAAAAGCAGCAAGTGACAACATCTCTCTTTCCAAACCTCGTTCTTCGCTTCCTCTAATGCGGCCAAAGTTGTTGAATAGAAATTCTCCATAAAGATCATATCTTGAGATGACGATATAAAATCTAGTATATTATTTATGCTCTTTTCACTGTAATTACGCGTCACAGCTGATTTTGTGTAAGTGAGGAGCTGTTTGTAATATGTGAGCGTCTGTAAAAAAGCGTAAAAAGAAAGACACGTGAGATTGAGAGTTTCGATGTAGAGCGCCAAAGTTTTGTACAACTGGACAAAAAAGAATACCGCATCGTAGTCTCCAGCTCTAAATGATAGCTTTGCCATCTGCTTTAACGCTTTAAATCCCCTATATCAACAAAATATAATTACTACACTCGATCATTGAATTGATACATCAAATTTTAATCTATTTACCAATCGCCCTTTTCTGTCTCTGTATCAACGACACTTTGAAATTCACGTATCGCTGCTTCTGGATCATCTTCCTTCCATGCTAATGACAATAAATCAGAAATTTATCTTCAGGATGCAAATATTACATAAAAAACCCCCGATAAAATCTGAGGAGAAGACCATCATGCAACTCTCAAGTCAACTATTACGCATTATTGGACTTTCAATATTTTATTTCCGCAGAATCCTACCTTTGGCATTGTAATATTTATTTTCTAGATCAACATCAGGTTCTTCCTGCTCGTCATCCTCATAATCGAAATTATACACCTCCTCCTCATCATCTTCCAGCATAAAATTGTCGTCAGACATGTTTCTATTTCCTCAAGGCTACGTACACATTACATAGAATGCAAATTTCAACATTACAGATTCCTCTCAATTTCTATTACCTCATTCCTCGTGCTGATTGGTCCATTGGTTACACACTTTTGAATTTTCTGCTGATTGATAACGAAGTGGAAACTATTAATTTTTATATTTTGACAGGTTGGGACTGGAAATAATCGACGAAATGAATACTGCAAAGAAGGACGAAGATTCAGGTAATAATGAACTGGAAACGTAGAGACCGAGAAAGAACAAGAGGAGGGGTGTACAGTGGTCAAAATAGAGAGTTGATGGAAGCAATAGTCTTAAAGTTCAGTTGTGAGTGTATTTCACGATTGCGTGATTACGAAAATCGTGACATCGCTCAGAGGGATGCTGGATTGATTTATGTAATTTGTTCATTAGTTCGAGAGTATTGCTGGCAACTTAATTTTGAACTAAATTAGCATATCATCCATAAGTCATCAGCACTTCTATACGGTTTAATTCTCTAATACTTGCCAGTATCCAGGATACTTTTATCGTCTTCACATAATCCATGATTTCTGCTAAACCCTTGTTTTATTTTAGTGATCTATGCTAACTTACAATTCGCGTCTAACATCCGATCTCCTCATCCAACATTTCCGTCTCTCGCTAAAATATAGGCGACCTGGGTATTTTTTATCACCTGGACAAGACGACCGTCCTCCAAGAAGCCAGAGTATTCAACGATTCCCCAATTAGTCCCCGTAAATGTCGCCTACTACTTACAAAAATCGTTTATCTGCTCCACCTCGGCGAAACTATGGCTACACAAGAAGCGACAGAGTTATTTTTTAGTGTTACAAAATTGTTTCAATCGAAAGATGTAAGTTTTGATATGATTAATCGAATGGAATGGGAAACGAACGTGACAAGAGCGATACAATGGAACAAACAGAAGATAATTACAAAAGATCTCGTTAGAATGTTATGTTCATTAATAGTTTGTGTTAATTATGAGCTTTAAGAATTGGCAGGGCAACACATGTTATGCCCCTTCTTTTTTATATTGTTTAGATTGCATTGAGACAAATGGTTTATTTGGTGATTAAAGAATTATCGACTGTAGCAGAAGATGTGATTATGGTTACGAGCAGCTTGATGAAAGATATGCAGCCGAAAAGTGAACTCACATATCGGGCGAATGCGATTAGAGCGTTGTGTAAAATTATAGATGTGAGTAAATATGCGTTGGTCTTTTTTGTCACTTTTTATCGATATACTCACAATCTACTTTTATTCATACACTGCCTGGTTTCAATTATCTAATCTCGACCAATGAACTCATCTAGGCCTCAATGCTCCCGAGTGTCGAGCGCTTCTTGAAAGCTGCGATAGTAGATAAAACACCTTCAATCTCCTCTGCCGCATTAGTTTCATCTTATCATCTTTTCCCCGCTGGGAAAGAAGTAATAAAACGCTGGGCCAATGAAGTGCACGAAGCCATTAATTGTAAACCACCCTCTCTCACGTCCAGTGCATCGTCTTACTTGACATCTTTCTCTAGCAATACATCCTCGTATGGCAATACCGTGTCTACAAGCAACATTAGCCAGTATCATGCACTAGGGTTGTTATATTTAATAAGACAACATGATAGGATGGCCGTGACAAAGCTGATACAGCAATTGGCGGGAACTGGAAGAAATAGTTATGGAGGAGGAAGCGTTTTGAGGAGTTCGTTCGCTTACTGTTTGTTGATAAGATTTGCTGCCAAGATCTTGGACGAGGACCCGAAGTAAGTTGAGGTGGATAATGAGGCTTGAATGAAGAAATCGAACAGCATTTTTAACATTAAATTTCTCTTCTTAAGTTCCCGTCAGCCAATGTATGAGTTACTCGAGGGTTGGCTACGACATAAGAGCGATATTGTTAACTTTGAGGCTGCAAAGGCTATTTGTAATATCAAAAATACAACAAGAAAAGAGCTGAATCCTGCAATTAGCGGTAAATTTATTTCCAAGGCATATGGGACATCTTTTATTTACGATATTCGCCTGCTCATGCCTATATTTTTTCTGGCCGTTAGTTCTTCAACTATTCCTGTCATCTCCAAAGCCAACACTCCGCTTTGCGGCAATTCGAACATTAAACAAACTAGCAATGACTCAGCCAGCTGCTGTTCAGCCATGCAATGTGGACATGGAAAATCTGATCACGGATCAAAATAGAAGTGTTGCGACCTTTGCAATCACGACACTTCTCAAGGTATGTGCATTATTAGCAGCACGTGTCATTGACTCTTTTGTCACTGTTTTCATCCCAACTGCATTACTTATTTCTTGCTTTGTGTTTCCATTCATTCATACAACATTCCAACAGACCGGTAATGAAGCTAGTGTTGACCGCTTGATGAAACAAATATCTGGCTTCATGTCCGAGATATCTGATGAATTCAAAGTCATTGTTGTTGACGCCATCCGCTCATTATGCCTCAAATTCCCTTCGAAACAGGCTGTGATGCTCAGTTTCTTAAGTGGTGTGTTGAGAGATGAGGGAGGATATGAATTCAAGCGAGCTGTTGTTGAAGCAATATTTGACTTGGTTAAATATATTCCCGAATGCAAAGAAGCTGGTAAGTAGGAGTAAAGAGCTAATGTGGGATAGACCAAGATGGGACAAGTGTGATTATGACTGGTTAATTAACGAGACTTTTCTTGATAGCTCTGGCCCATTTATGCGAATTCATCGAGGACTGTGAATTTACAAAACTTTCTGTCCGTGTATTGCATCTCCTCGGAGTTGAAGGTCCAAAGACGAGTACCCCCACCAAATATATTAGATACATATATAATCGGGTTATTCTTGAGAATTCGATAGTGAGAGCTGCTGCTATTAGTGCGCTGGCCAAGTTTGGCGTTAGCGTTCCTGATGCTGCAGTCAAGAAGAGTATCAAAGTATTAATTACAAGGTATGCGATTTAAGAATTGAAGATCATGTGACTGAGTGAATAGCAAAATAACTTAACTTGGTTATTTCGGTTGAAAGGTGCTTGGATGATAATGACGATGAGGTGCGTGACAGAGCAACGTTCTTCTTGAAGATCATGGAAGATGGAGAAAACGCTGAGAAATACATCAAAGATGGTAACATACTCTTTCAATTCTCATAATTTGCTCAAGTTTTGATCTGGTATTGTATTCTTCTCCACATGAAACGCGTTGACACCCTATATTATCTTTTTCTAGATGCAACTTACTCCCTCGGAGTCTTGGAACGACAACTAGTCCAATACGTTTCATCTCCAGACTCAACAAGTAAACCGTTCGATATTTCATCAGTTCCTCTAATCACCAAAGCCCAAGCTGAGGCCGAATCTCTCAGAGAACGTTCTACAGACCTTGCTTCTGTTCAAACCATTGGTACAACAACATCTGTCCTACCTGGCCCGACCGTTACGCCCACAGTTGCAGCTGATAGAAATGTAACACCTACACCAAATGTCGACCAGCAGCAACTATATGCGCAGCAGTTGGAGAAGGTTCCGGAGATTGCTGCATTTGGACACTTGTTTAATAGTAGTACGAAGCCTGTCGAATTGACTGAAAGTGAGACCGAATATGTGGTTGGATGTGTTAAGCATATGTTTAACGAGCACGTTATATTCCAGGTAAGAAATAGGAGCTAACCGTAAGACAGAGAATTTGTTCGACTCTGGCAGTATAGACATGGAGCTTTTAATGATATTAATCAACACGCGTCCTGCATTTTTTTTGTTGCCTACTTTTCTAGTTCAACATAAACAATACACTTAATGATAAAGTGCTTGAGAATGTCTCGGTTGGCATGACACCCGAGTCTGAAGACGGTTCATTGGAAGAATTGTTTACTATTTCAGCAGCAAAGATACCATATGATCAAACAGTATCTGTCTATGTAGCCTTTAAGAAATTGGATACTAGTGAACCTATACTTGCTACATTCTCCAACACTCTGAAGTTTATTATCAAAGACGTTGACCCCCAAACAGGCGAGGAAGATGAAGAAGGATATGAAGATGAATATATGGTAAGAGTTACTCAACAATTTAGACTCTAGACTTGTATACATGGTCGTATTGACCGTATAACCGCTTCTTACGGTACAGGTTGAAGATGTTGAATTGGTGACTGGTGATTATGTCCTACCAACATATGTGAGCGATTTCCAATCAGCCTGGGATAAATTAGGTGAAGACGGACAAGTGGTCGAGACATTTGCATTAACTGCCATGAGTAGCCTAAGAGGTAGATTCTCTCCCAATTATTTCATAGATCGTTTAATATTTTATCCTTAAGATATGCTGTTGTAACTGACACTGTATTCCTTCCAAAAGCTGCATGTACAGAAATAATCGATCTCTTGGGAATGAGTCCAGTTGAAAATACTGGAACGCCGCAATCAAACAGTGTTCATACTCTCTTACTCTCCGGAACTTTTCTGGGTGGAGTAAAAGTGTTAGCAAAGGGCAGAATGTCATTTGCTTCTAGCACGGGAGTCACAATGGAATTATCCGTACGGTCCTCGGATGAAAAAATTAGTCAAGTCGTTATCAGGTCTATCGCATAGAGGATACTTACAAAACGCAAATTACTATATTTTGATGATAGAGTATTTAATAAAAACTAACAAAACTCGGTTATTAGGCCTACAGACTTTTTTATGTTCATGCAGATTGTATATTGAACGCTGGGAAGCATATTACATTACATTCTATAGATCACATTAATTACATACTTTCAAATCATAATTCATCGAGATCAAAGTCATCCTCAATCTCACCTTCTTCACCTCCCACCTCATTTACTTGTCTTTCACCACCCTGATCAAATACACCAACATCCTGGTAAGGACTATTCTGTTCACCAATCTCGCTACTATGGGCAGTCGACTCTCCGGCGGGATTCCAGAATGCACCAACTTTTAGTCCTCCCACTTGGCTTGCTTCCTCCTTCTCGCCTCCAGCTTCATGTCCATCACCAAAGATGTCCATATTAACAGCAATGGAAATGTTATCTACGCTATCAATGTTCCCACTAATATTGTCACCGCTGCTGATGTTGATATTGTCGATGTCACTGATGTTGGTATTACCAATACTACTGATGTTGATATTGTCGATGTCGCTGATGTTGGTATTACCAATACTACTGATGTTGTTATTAACAATACTACTGATGTTGATATTGTCGATGTCACTGATGTTAGTATTAACAACACTATTGATGTTGGTATTATCAATGTTGTTGATGTTGGTCTTATCAATAACGCCAATACTGATATTATCGATACCGCCAATGTTGATACTATCAATACTGCCAATGTTGGTATTATCAATACTGCCAATGTTGATATTATCAATACCACCAACGCTGACATTATCAACCTTGTCTTCGCCTAGTTTAACCTCGTCCTGCTTCTCCTTATTATCTGCCTTCTCTATCTTCTCCGTACTTCCTTCACTTACAATTCCCGCACCCTCAATTTTCCCGTCTCCAATACCAATAGTGCTACTGCTGATAACACCTTCTTTTCTCTCAGTGACATTCGTGCTACTCTCGTCTACAACCACCATTTCCTCATCTTCATCATTGTAGGGACTATCAACAGCGGATGATTCTGCTTCTTGCGGAGTATTAACGCCTATATTTGCAAGCGGAGTGGACACAGCAGAAGGAACAGATGATCCGCGCAGAGAGGAGGTTGATTTAGCAGATGTAAGTGCTGGAGGTGGACGAAGTAGACGGTTTTCGTCCGATTCGGATGGTAATGGGGTTGAGGCTTCGGTTGGTGGGGCAAGGGAGAATGCTGTTGGGGTCGGTGTGTCCTGAAATGTGTAAAATTCGAGAGTTGAAATAGACAAGAGAAGAAAAAATACAAGGCATTTAGTAATTATCTCAGAGCAACAAAAACAAAGCGGAATCACAAATGCTACGTACTTCAGCTTGATGATGTTGCTGGTTGTCTTCATATTCGTCATCCTCATCATCAAAGGTCATTTTTCTGTTACCTAAGTAGAGTAAATCAATTGTAAATTTACGCTCACTCAAAAGTAGGCGCGTCTCAAATACTTACATTTGACCCATTTATACAACATGAAATTCTTCCCACCGCCAACTGGATACTGCCATTTCTTTTCCCTGCAAATTCATAATAATTAATAAGAGCATATAGGTTGGACACTCGTTATGTCCCTGATCTGCCCTTTCGTCCTTTACTCTTATACCCATACCGCACTTCCTACCATGCTTGAACAGGCTGCAACAAAGCGCGCTTCAGTCTATCATGATCAGCTGAGGCATATCGAATCCCGTGGTGATGACGGGAAGGTCTTGCCGAAGACATAGCAGACGAATAGGGAGAACGACTTTTGCGAGGCATTCTAGACTATGACTTGATTTGGGAAACTCGAGTTACACAAGGTATATAGAAGGTAAAGTTGAGGTTTTGTTGGGGTCATGATCGTCCATCCGAGGTTTATAAAGTAAAATACGCGAGCGGAGTTTATTATAGTAAATAATCCCAAATTCCGATAGCACTAGTCAACAAGCACATGAATGTACGTGGTAATATCGCCAATAATTAAGATCACTAGATCGAACTTTCACTTCCTTTATTTAATTAAATTAAACCTGATTGGTTTAATCCAACCATTTGTGTTTTCAAGAACGATTGCATAAAAAGAATAAAATCATGCTTATTATTATGAAAAATTAAATCAATTTTGGCGGACCCAATATAAATTCTAATTGCTTTAATTTAATTATTAAGTACAGTAGGAAAAGTGAACGAATAAAATATGACCGCAAACAATTAGTAGTTGGCGAATTTGAACCCTGTTAAAGTCATTGCTCGTGTTTTCCTGACTTTGTTGCAGCAATATCTTTAATAAAGATATCATTCTTTTCTTAATGCTGTCTCTATGAATAGCGTTTGTGGACGTTGTCTCATAAATTTATCTCTTAATTACATATTACTCGAGCCGTTATGGTTATACGGCAGTCTATTACTAAAAGCCATGTACGCGTTAAGTTGTTGAATAAATGTAGAAACAGAAACGTTCGATTGATTAGCTGAATATCCATAATGTCTTTGGTTCGGCAAGAATACTCATTCCGAGAGAAGTCTACGAGAATAATAGTGGTTTGCATCAACAAATACGTGCTAGCATAACTGTCGTATTGTTTGTATAAAAATTTATTCTAAAATTTTGTAAATGTATGCAAATAGAATGACAAGAGGTATAACAACATAAACTATAAACAATATTAAAACAAATAATAGACAGTAAAGAAATTACGAATATGTAAACAGGCATTATGTAGTACACGGTTTTTCGAGATCTTGAGTCACTAATTTGAGAAATAATAAGAAGGTTAATAATACTGACTAGTCTGTTAAAAACATGCAAATTTACTATTCGTACCTGCAGCAGAACTAAGAGCCCAACTGTTTCTGGGTCTAGGTAAATTTCCAGTAGGTAATATTTTACTAGAATATTTGCTTTCTTTCTCGATACGTGACAATGGCCTTATTTTTTTGTTGTAGTAGACGGTATTCCATAAATGATCATCAGATTTCTCCCTCAAGAGCTTCCAAATCTCGTCAAAAAGGTTAGGAGCACTGGGACGTTTGCTAGGATCAGCATCGCAACATTTTTCAGCAAGTTTTTTGTACGCCTCTGGTGCTGAATTAGGCATTACTGGTCGCAGTCCCTCACAAACGCGCATCGCTAAACACTTGTCAAACGACCAATCTCTTAAAGGTGGTTCGCCAGTAGCGATCTGATACATAATGATACCAAAAGCATATATATCCGATGCCTGAGTAAATCTGTGGGTATGCAAGACTTCTGGTGCGATATAAGGTAAAACGCCTTGAACTGTTGGGAAATCCGACATTAACAAATGCACTGATCTAGACAGTCCAAGATCACATATGAATGGCTTGGTTAAAAGATCGCGGTTTTCCGCTTTACTCAAGATTATATTTCCACCATGGAGGTCACAATGTATTAAATTGCTCTCGTGAATTATTTGCAGACGAAATGCGATATCCTTTAAACATCCTAGTTTCATCTTCCACGTCAGTTTGTTTATATTTTGTTCGAGATAAGACAAGAGATTACCATAATTGGCATACTGCATTACAATCATGTACTCTTTGGTCATTGGATGTTGCGTAACTCCGTAAATTTCGAGAAATCCATATCCAGCGCCAGCGCATTTGACATGGTTTAAAAACTATATTAAATCATAAATTAAAAAAAAGAAGAAGTAAATATATTGTCTAATTGGCTGTTAACGATGGTTATAACAATATTTGCTTACCTCAGCAATAACCAGTTCCGGCCCCTGGCCAGACTGTTTAAAACATTTTAGAGCCACATTTTTTTGCTTGATAATTGGGTATTTGTCTATTTTACATTTGGCAGTATAGACTGTTCCATAACCACCCGATCCAATCTCTTTGATTTCATCAAATTTTTCAAAATTTATAAATTCCAACGTATCGGTTTCCGTGCTATTTAAATTTTTGACTTGCATTACTTTGCCTAAGATTGAATGAGTGTCATAATAGAACACTAAATAATAATCCTGAGTAAATTGTTCTTGGGTGACGCCAATAACCCAAGTATTATCTGGGCTTAATATCTTTGGGTATTCTTCGGTTAACTATTTTAAAATAGAATATTATTTTGCGTCTCAGCAATCATTCAGTTGACGTAATCAAATACAATAATATTGTCTACACAAAAAAATACATTACCTGATAAAAATCAAACGATTGAGCGCATTTTCCGTCAACTATTTTTTTGAGCATTACTCTTGTCAACATATTCTCATTGGTGGATTCTAACCAATCAGCTGTATATGTGCACCCATAATTTAATGATAATGCCTCTTGTATATTTGTCAGTTGAGAAAATTTTATCCATTGTAAATAGTTATCAATTGGATGTTCGGTATTATGCCATGACTTTATTATAACAGAGTCTAAAGACTTGTTACCAGTAGTCCAGTCAAGAGGTCTTGGTGCTTTACAGACATAACAGAATGCGTTGATACCAGGGCGAAAATCGTTTTTACATGCCAGACATGATCCATCCTTGCATATATACTTGATTTGGGCATATTTTTGCCATTGTGGATGAAACGTGTACCCAATGGTAGTCCTTGTATTATTCATGCTGCGGCTAATACACATCTATAAAAATTATATGTTATTATCGCAAATAAATAGTGTTTAATGCAATAATAATAACTGATAACCATAACTTACTTTATGATAGTCTGAATAATTCATCTCATCTGTTAACTCGAACGGAACAAGTTCTACCCTTTCATAAGTCGGCAAACCATACAATTCTGCATACGTTTTGTCATTCGATTCGATGATTTTAATACAATCAAATGGAATCCATTCCAGGTAACGGACTTTATTTGTCGTCTTTTGTCTTCCTTGGAATCCCCTAATAAGTTCGTCGACGTTCTTATTGTAGCTGGTCCAGCCGTATGCTAATTCTTTATGACCACAAATGCACCACACGGGACTACATCTGAGTATTCCACATGCAGAGCAAAATCCATATCGCGAATAACAGTAGTGAAATGGCTTCTTTGCTATTAGGAAGTAATTATTCTTATCATCGCAGGTAAACCCAATTATCATGTTGTTGCGACAAGTAAGCCATTCTGGGTATCGTTCAAACTGATCGAACTTGTATGCGTTTTTATATTTATAAGTAGGAAGTGAGTAAATTCTAGAAAACTCATGTATAAACTCCTGTGTGCATTTTCCAAGTAGTAGCAACATGACTGACTCTTGTCGTGGCTCGTGGGTAGCATAATAGATGGTCTGATCTGCAGAATTTTGAATTAGTTCCATATCCGTAAATTCCGAGTAAGAAAGCCATTCGAGACGAGAGCATCTCTCTTCTTGTTTTTCATCATCAAAGTCTTGGAAAGATTCGATCAGTTGGTTGATCGCAGTGCGTGCGTCAGGCCGTGAATTTGTAACAATTGCTCGACTTCTTATGCTTGTTTTTTGTCTACCCCAGCATTGTCCAAAAGTTGTATTAATTCGCAAGGTTCTAAAACTTGAATCTAATAATTCGAAAAGGAACGACATTTTTTTTTTGAAAACTGTATATAAACGTTGGGAAAATTGTTACTTTGTTATTTGATTTAGGCGCTCTCAAAGCGTCCGTTTTATATTGTAAGATGAAACCAGAGAAATGGCGATCACGTATATCAAAATTGCTTTAAGATCAAAGAATGAAAAGTAGTGGTTTTCTTATTTTTCTTTAAAATTAATTTGAAAGCACAGAAGGGAGAATCCGCCTACTATTAATTTATGCCCGCTCCCAAACTTAGAACTAGAAGCGAACCAAATTATTGATTTTTATTATGTGATCGAATTAGACAATGTCCTTTTATCTTGGCTCAGGCAATCAGTAGGTCCTTTCCATATAGACACAAAGTATAACACATGTGGGTAATTACTTCCAACCTTAATCAATGGAGTTTTATATATAGCACAATTTATTGCAGTCTTATTAGTACCACGGGTCATTGTTCATAATTTAGGCAAGATCTGTCTGACAGCATGCGCGATATGCAGCTTGGGTCGCTCATTTTCCGGGATAGCGATATACTATCAGAACTGAAAGATCGCAAAACGTGCATTGTAAATTGAAAGAAAATGGCAATGCCTAATTAAATAATGATTACATACTCACCAACCGTTTAAAAGCGATGCCGATCATATTCAGCATGACGGTTACATGTCACATGCATTACCCAATTACATCAAATCATTACCAAAACGTTGTCATGAAAATCAATATTACACAGACGGAACATCAAACCGGAAACCCAGTATTCCATTCCCCAAGAAGAATTTATCATTTCGCATCAAATTAGAATGTAATTAATTTGTGATATGGTGTGGATTCTTTTACTGCAAATATTTGTAAAGTTGTCTGATTAAACATCGCAGCTTTATTAATTTGTCTAATGTTTTTTGTCATTCGTTTAATGCTTTCAAAATAAAAATAAATATACATTACACTTCGCTTCATAGAATGTGCGCATGGATTTATCATTGCTATATTCAATATGAATTATAAATTGGTAACACTATTATCTATTGGTATCGTAGCATATATCGGTTAAATTCAACCTAGTATCAAATTGTCCTTTTTCGGGTCAGGAATTTGGGAATGTCTGTCGAACATTGCCATGTTGCTCTGACAAACAAAGTAACTATTCATGTCTCACCATTATCAATTTCTGGCGTACTTATGAGACGCAATTTACCTTCCAGTAAGCGAGACAATGTAC